CACGTGAACTCTCAAGTAGGGATCGAAGTGCCATAATAGCATAGCCCGTGAAGAGACAGGGATATCCCTTTAGATACTACTTGAGCAATGAATGTTAGCTCCTAGAATAGTCCTTAAGAATTTATAAGTACCCTCATCCGATAGCCTTTGAGGACTTACAGCTCTCTCTATTGGGTTGCCCTTGAGAACTTTTGGGTACTTCTAGGATACTCTTGACGACTCATGAATACCCGTCTAGCATAGTCCTTAATGACTCATAGGTACCTCATAGGATATCTCTCGAGGACTCATGGATGCTTCCTGTGATAGCCCTTCAAAACTCATGGATACCCCCAAAGGATAGCCCTTGAGACTAGCTTCCACTTTTCTCAAATGAGCGGAACAATCGGATCCCGCTCAATGAGCTGTCACATACCTACTACCAACTGCACAGTGTTCAGTTTTGGCCAAATTTTAATGCTAAAATTCGCTCTACAAATCACGTAAGTACATGTTTTAATAGTTTTCTATCAACGACGAAAAAAAAATGACTGTTGTTAATAAAAATGATAATATTCATGTTTATCTTATTCCTTTAATCAGAGTTAAACAACTACAAATAATACTGATATAATCATAGTAATTTGTTTTCGACCGTTTGATTTTAGCTTATCAGGATCATTGAAGTATATTAAACTTTACCAAACTACTGAATTTTATTGAAAGGCTTTAAAACAAATGTGTCTTCATAAGAAAAGAAAACATTGATGAAAGTTTTCTGACCGAACAACCGGTGCATCTTCATTAGTAAGACTTCTCAGTTTAGTGCAATTGATACATGCTACATCATTCGTAAAATTGTTTATTATTATTGCCAGTGATTCTTATTCGATGCTAAGTATCCATAAACTTCGAATTCAGAAGGATAAAATAAGAAAATAAAATCCTTGCTGATGGATTTCCGCTTTTCTTTTTATGTTCGATTATTACATATACATAATTCTTTGAGAAATGGCTTATCTCGAGAAGTGACTTTGAAGAATTGATGTTCGATACTAAATATTGTATCATTCACCAACAAGCTTCGATCTTTATCAAATATACCATTTTGAAAAGAGTTGTTGAGATGAAAGTGATTAAACACGAGATCTGCTCTTGGTCTTCATTCATGTAGTATTAACATATGAAGATCAACTTGTCCATATCTTCTTTTGATGAAAGTTCTATTGTAGCATTCTTGTTTATAATAGTTGTGCCAATACGAGAAGTAAACTTACTTAATCGTTGTATATAAATAAGCATATCGTCAAATTATAAGTCGAATCAAGTCTTATTATTGACACAAAATAGCATCAGCTCTTCAAGATTCATCATTCAACAAAGCAATGAAATGTGTATTTCATCGAGTTTATTGAAAAACATTTCAATTTGAAAAGTTTTTCTTCAATACAAAATGACAGATGTTATTCTTGCCTCGTTATCTATATTTGATAACTTCAACGAGTTTTTTTTTCGCACAAGTAATAAACATTCATCAAGAAAAGAAAAATAATCAACAAGAATTTTGATATTAATACTCAATTTAATTCCAGTTGATGATATACAATTTGTTTATAGTAATTTACCTATAAATACGAATTGACACCTTTCGATTAGAAAACAATTGGCAAAAATACTAATTTGATTAATCTTTTGCATAAAGATTAAATCAACACAAAAAATATTTGATAATTTCAGAGATTTCTCTTGTTAAGTCCCGATAAATATCTATATTAAGATATATGATTTTTTGAATAAGAACATCATGAAGATTGGAATCACTTTTAATTTAACAAACTAAGATGATGGCTAATTCATGTGTAAAGTCTTGTTTATTTTGTTAACTAAAACCAACAAAATAAAATAGTACACTTGTTAGATACTGAAAAAGTATTTCTTAACTTGAAAATTCTTCGAATCTCAACAAACATATCAAGCATGTTGCTTGTAATCTTTTTCTTCGCTACAGTATTAAGCGGACTGATACACCAACGAGTTTAAGAAAATATTCATGTATCAATGATTTACGCCATTTCTATCTTCTTGTAAAAATGACCTAAAGCATTCTAGGTGAGAGATATGACTAACTTATAAATATCTGTGCTTGTTACGAAAATATGGTCTATGATGAATGCAAGATACTAATCTAAGATAAATATTTACTATCTTTTTTTTGGTCGCCTATAAATGAAAACAAACATTTTACTTTTTCACGAATGAACAACGATTTTACCATGTTCTACTACGCAACCTTTATCATCATTGCTATTTTTATTGGCAGCTCAAATGGCAAACTGACAAAACCATTGCTAAATGAACCGAAACCATGCTGTTTACCAAAACAACATAGTTCACAAATGAGTATATCAACCGGCATGATATTGCCAGATGGTAAACCATACAGTTCGCACGTAAGTCATTCGTATCAGAGATATTTGCGTCTGAACTATGATTATTTAACTGAGTAGTCAACCTATAATTTTTCATATGATTCGGATCGTGGTTTGGTTGCTATGAAAGGTGAAGCGATTTCGATACCAGATGGTCAAAAATCACATTGGTGGATCATTGAAAATATGAAAGATGGTCAAACTTACACAATAGATCAAGATTCAAAAAAATGTTATAAATCAATAATAACACTAAAACCATTGTATTGTATACCAGGTACCTGAAAGTTGTTTTTCATTTTGTTTTCTGTTCATGTCAACAAAAATACGATTTATTTTTCTTCTGCTATTAGAGACAGCAGTTTATCAATACTCGTCTACGTATGGATATGGTGATAAACAAATTATTGGTGACACATGGCTTATAGCAAAGGATGAAGCAATTATGTATTTTACAGTTAGTAATGATGGCTTATGTATTCCATTGAATGGACATCATTACTCTCAGAACCCTGGTGAGTAACTCTGTACTATGAAAATATCGGTCACTACTTTTCTTTTTTCGTCCTTTTAGCTACTGTTAATTCAACAACAATAGCCAATTTCGTACCGAAAATTCTTGACCCTAGTGCATTCGATATACCGGAAGAATGTAAAAATACCGCTTAGCATTTTGATTTCTCTCACTAATAAATGAACATTGAAATTCATCAATGGTATAGTTCTATAACAGAATTTTGTTTTATGTTGAAATAAATGGCAATCTTGTACCAAGTGCTATAACGGACAATTAGAGATTGTGAACAGAGTTACTGTAAGAATTAAAGTCTTGACTCTTAAGTCGAAGACAAGAATCCGTTTAATAGATTCCTTTGATCACAGAATCCAAAGAAGTATGTAGCTATCATAACGTTTTTGAGTCCTGCCAATGGACCTTACCAGGTGACTTATGCATTACGCTGCATACATTTTGTACTGTATTGATATCTGTTTTTTAAGAAAAAATAAAAGGTATATAGAATTGAAAAGAAATTGATATTGACTTGTATCATTACACAAGAGAAATATAGGACGTCGTTTACCTCTAAAACAGAATAATTTTCTGTCGTCAAAAATAGTTCGATACCATTGAAAGTTACAAATCAAATATATGTGTAGGTCACCGATTGCATTGAATAAATACATATATTACAAACAAATATTTACTTTAAAACGACAGTAAAATCTAAGAATTCATATTCAATATATTTGAAAACAGTTTCATTCGCACTTCTATAGACCAATAACTATAGAGGACAGGATAAAAAAAAGTGCAATCTCTGGATGCATCACTTGTCTCAGGCAATATCGATATGAAACACATAAGAACACGTTTCGAATTGTTCGCCATCAAGTGAATTGTATTTTTTTATAGGGTATTGACACACAGAGATTGAGTACTAGAACAAGTCAATTAATTTTATTTGATAAATGTTTCATTCAGCCAAGATGAAGTTTTCACCAGAGAAATGTCTGACAGTAGCGTGATCTAGCGAACGTTCATGAAATGTTGCGTCATTTTAATGATGTGGGATGTGTGTAAGACTTCTGTTCATCACACACGGTTCGTTTTCAATTATTGACTTTGAAACTTACTCGATAATCTGTATATCTTCATATAATAGTTACAAAATATCAGCTTAAATTCATAAAAATGCAATTTAAATACTTTCATAACAAAGTATGGTAATATATGAAGATAAAAGTACAATAAACAGAGAAATGTCAAACATGAATATTTCTTCATGCTTCTACATCTACCAATCTGATATTTCTATGATTTTTTTGTTGCCAATGCTTGATTATTAGAGCATACTACAGGTAAACGTTAACAATTGATAACAATGCAAAGAACAGACAATGATATAGGTGTCTCTGCCATCCTTCACAATCACACTGAAAAAAAGCATTTCATTCATTTCAATTCCCGAAACTTCGATTTAACTTAACAAAAAAATAAGCTGTCTGATTTCTGTTCTTTTGAACGAGACATCATACATCGACGAAGACTGGCTGCGTTCAAATGATCATTAATTTATAGAAATCTCTCTTGTTGGTTCTATTCACCGATGAGTGAATATTATTTCAATTAGTAATTTGTCTCAGATACGAATTATTCTGAGGTTCGTTGAAATTATATGAATAAAGATAATTATCGAAGGAATTTCATATCATTTTCAGCGTACGAATATTTTTGAGTCAATAGTAGTAAGTATGAAACATATAATTGTACGAAATGTAACACAAAACAGTAAAAACATTTCAAGAAGAGGTACAATGTACGATATAGATGTGGATGTGGTTCTTTTCTTTATCCACACTCACACTTTGATTCGATTTGGCCAGCTGTTTTGTATAATTATCTTATTATCGTTTAAAGAAATACATGTGTGAATGAGCACTAGAAAATCGTGTTTTCTTTTGAAGTGGTACAATGCAGATACTTTGCTTTTTTCATGGCACGAAATACCAACGAGAACATCAAAAGAAAACGACTTTTCTTTACTAGAAAGCTAGAGTGATTAAAGATTCATAATATACTTTGTTCAATGTCTTACGTTAGTCTTTTGTAATGAAGCACTCCTATTGATACAATTTTGTTAAGAAAATTTCGCGCTGAATTTATTGGTGCAAAATTGACGAAGATGATTTTGACTGGACTGATCGAGATCAAGATGAAAAATCCAAATTTATAACATTTATTCTCAATCATTCAATACAAGTCATCAATGACATCTACCCATGATAATTTTGTTCTTTTTTTCTACAAGCTGGTTGTAGATACTTGATGCAGCTATTGTTTGTGTCAATTATATCGTAAATAAATAAATAAATAGATGGCTGGCTGGCTGGCTGAGAAAAAAATGCAGTCGCATGCACTTCAGCTACGCTTTGCTATTCATTGATGTGAAGACAGCAATTTTGTTTATGATTGTTCGAGCTTCTCACCACGTTTCAAAACCCTGGTAACCAGCAAACACTTCACAAAACGCTTTCAATTGAATGATTAATGCTGTGCGACATTCAGTCACATACTTATTTTTTGAATGGCGGCGGTCGTTTGATAAAAATATCAATGTGCTTGTGCAATTGCTTTCGAGAAGGAAAGAAAAGAGGAGTAAGAGCAATAATTTTTGTTTTTTTTTTCGAGAACAAAATGGTCCGACGAAGTAAGTTACCTAAAGATAAGAATCAAAGAAGTCAACAGATTTGAGAAAATATACTTGCATGTAATTAGTCTAAGATGATTGCTGTCTTGATATTCTCAAATCTTGACAGTTTTATGTATTCGGCCGGTAGTTTGATAACGATTCATAGAAGTCAATAAAAAATCCATTTGGTAGCTTTCTGTATCGATAGTGACAATTTATATGTATCTCATCTCTTTACTGGATACGTAATTGATAATAAGATCATCTGTTGTGTACAAACGGGTAGAAGGCTGATGAAAAGGCCAAAGTACGGTTACTTCTCCTCTTCAAAGCAGTATTGAATAAAATTTCAGTATGAAAAGTTCAATTTTTATTGCCATATTCAAAATCTGAATAAAAATCTTCGTCTAGTTTTGATCTTCTCGCAATCATTTTTCAATTTATTATTAAAAGTAAAACGAAAATGGTCGCAAGCGTTAGAAATTAGTTCATTTATTGTGTCTTTGCTTTTCTTCACTATTATTAACAAAGAACTACACGTCTCATGAACCCAACACAATCACACAAGATCAGAGAGGATAACAGTAATTAAATTAGAGAACCAATTGAAGATGCAGCTTGTAAATATTAGATAAACATAGAGCAACAAACAACTATCTTGCACCCCAAATATATGTTTCGATACTTATCCAAGTATCTATCTGCGCATATGCTTCTTATATTTATATATGATCCAAGGTTACTTCAAATGACAGGGTGAAACAGAGCGACTGATAGCTCTTTCTTTTATTGTGAGTGCATTGCACTTCTCTTGATTTTCTTTTCAAAGACAATAGCAATGCTAAAATGAATGTATAGAGTCATCTTTTCGACTTAAGCAATGAGAGCTGTTGGTCAGTGACCGTCTTACTAAACATTTGCTTCTATTCGTCATATTGTAATTTCTACTCTAGATCTATTGAGACATTATTGCACGATTCGAATTTCATCATAATGTCGTGGATTGTGGAGCAAAGTGACAATACATCTGCAGTTCAAGTAAACGGTAACGCCATAACATGCACAAAAGAAGGTTACTATGATAGTCCAATCAATGTTATGTATGATGATCCAGCTGATCATAATGGACAATACTTTTGGGAACTGAAATTTATCGAATCAGCGACAGAAACTGGCAGTTCAGCAGTCGGCTTGACAATCAAACAAGCCTTTCAACCAGGCTATATGTTGAAAGCCATGAAATATTTAGGTGACTGAAAGATCTTTCTCTACTACATCATTTAGTTTCGTAAAAAAGATCGAGTTGAGAGATTCAGATGATGTAACTACTTTCCTTTTTTTCATTAATATGAACTCGTTTGGATCAAGTAGAAAAAGGTAATGGAAAACAGTTTTTGAAAAAAACTTATTCTACAGATGTTGTTCCAATTGAATGAAACATATTGAAGTCGATGCGTAAAGTAATCGTGTGTATTAGTTTTAGGAATATAAAGACCTACTTCAGCTCGACATGTTTAACAAACATTTAGTGATTCTATCGATTGTTTTTATACTATTAATGTTGTTCTAGGAAATCTATCGGATGGAAGTGGTCTCCTAGTACAGTCTTTTGGCGAGCAAATTAAACAAGGCGATAAAGTTTGCATATTACTAGAATTAACCGATTCAGACATGAAAATGTACTTATTTCATAATGAACGATCATTGGGTCTGGCATTTCATGTACAATCGCCATATCCAAAACCACTGTATCCAGGTAAATAATATCACTGATCATTTGCTCATATTATATTATTTCAATTTAGTCGTGAGTTTCAACGGCAATGGTAAAGTGATAATTACTCGTTCTGATCAAAAACATGGATCACTAGAACGTGCATCGTCACAATATAATAATGTAGAAGGTAAATGGAAGGTCCTTGATTTTCCTCAACATCCTGAATGTAATGGTTGTGAGTTCAAAATACAACGCCATGAACACGCTGAAAATATGTACGTTGTTTTTACGAATGTTGTCAACATGTTACATTGCAGCTTGGAGCACAATCCTACGACTGATGAATGGAAATCTGCTGATGTTATGTCAACGCTTATGGCTGGTCCATCAGAACTAATGAAAGAAGAACAGTTGATTAGTAATTTTCTAACAAACATACAAAATTTGCATGTAGAAGATACGCAAAACTTAATAATACGATCGAAGAATGGAATTGAAATTAAATTGGAACGTTGCACAGAATGGGCACCATCTCCTGTGACAGAGAATATATTCGCTTAGTTGGTATGAAAGGAAGAACATATACAAATGGTTGATTCTTGAATTAAACTCATAAATATAACTCTATTATATAACGTCCTGATAATTTAAGTACTCTGTAGAAAGTTAAATTAGCCTTCAACCGTTTGATTTGCTTAGAAAAAAGACATGCTATTTTTTCGAAAGAAGTAATAGAAGAAAATTGCAACATATATTTTATAATTAGCTATTAATAAATTCTATTATCGAACGAAATATATTTTCAATAAGAGTACAGAAAATATGGTGTAGATTTGATTGTGAATGAAGAGAAGATGTACGCCCACTCCCACCTCCCATTCTGTTGTTGAATTGATGGCAAGTAATATGAGTTGACAACATTTAGATAACAATCTCATTCTTAACTCTGTCTAATGTTCTGACGTATAGTCAGCTTGAGATAGTTGTAATACACTTACTTTGAGAAGTTTTACGATATTACAACAATCCGAACATATGTAGGCGTGTCATATATTAGTAGGAGAAAAAGACTGACGTCTTTGTAGAAGTGAAGTTTATAGGTACAAACTTGCTGAGTACGACAATTAATCACTAAGCTATAAACTAGATAAGATTATACTGTTTTTATTGCTTACGCCCTCATGCATAGTAGCTTCGTACGCGTTTATCAGGATTTATCGCAGCATATATCGCTTATGACTGACCATGAAAAAAAGGTTTTCATGTCATAAATTTGTTTTATGTCTACAAAAGATAATCAACTATCATCAATATATATAAGTATGAAATAAACACAAAGTGATTGAGCCTTGAAACATGAAGACATTGCTTTTCGTTTTCTTCACTTTATTTTCTTCTCGTATTAATGGTCAATCGTGTCAAGGAAGATATAATCAATTCATTATTGGTAACTGCTCCTCGGTTGACGACTGCCAAGGAACTTTATTAGCTGTAACTTCTTGTGCGCAGAAACGTTGCTGTGTTTTTGAAAATCTGTCGACAATAGGACAGTCATGTTTAACGCAAAGCAATTTGGCTTCTTTATTCACTACATCTCGTGGAAGGTTCATTGGAAATGTTCTCAATAGAGGAATTAATGAAGCCGGTATTTGTTCTAATTGTCAAGCAAAAGCGGCATTTTTAGCAATAGCAGCTACTATGACAGACAATTTTGAAAATGATGAAGCAACAGACAATGATGCACAATTTGCTGGTGATGATGGTAAGTATGGAAATGTCGAGCCAGGCGATGGATCACGATATCGTCGACGGGGACTATTCGGTCTTCGGGGAAGAACTATGTACCGACGATTGCAAGAATTGTTACCACAATATAATACTTTAACAAATCCCGAATTGGCAGCAATAACAGAAAATGCAATTATCATTGCTGCTCAACTTTGGAACAATCCAAACTTGTTAGACGGTAAGATTATTGTTGTGTTGTTAATTATTGTAGCTATGTAAATATTTACAAACAGTTAAAAACTATTGCACAAATAGTATATGCGAATCTGAACTACAGTTTTATCTAATGGTTACATTAAATAATCCTTTTTGTTTTATCTGACTCAATTAAAAACCTACTCAAAGATTTGTGACAAATACAGAAAAGCTAAGTCTCCATAACACGCACAAAATAAATATTAGTATGAAGAAAAAAAGAGGGAAATAAAATTAAGTGAAGCTTTTTCTTAATAATCATTGCCACTTTTTATCTTCTATCTTTCTTGACAAATCTATGTTCTACTATTCTAAATAAGGTTCTGACAAAAATGCTTGAAACTACACTGCTATTGAAATCTCCAATCCGATAAATTCTATATCATTATAGACACACCGTTAACAAATTATGCTGATGGTACATTTTATGGATTTTCTATGTTATGGTACGTATTTATTTAATTTCTATCTCATGTTTGCTTTTTGATTTGTCGTCATTTTAAAAGGTTTAAATTAACTGGAGGTGTTGAAATGTTAGCTCATGCCACCAAACAATATTCGATATTTTTACGACGTCTACAATGCGGCGGTGATTTGTATCCGGGTCAAGGGCTTAATTGCACATATAATGCTACGCATCAAGGTATTTGCTCAGCAGATTGTATTAAAGGTCTTGAAGAATCGGGTGAATATTGTGGATGTGTTGGTGGAAGAGGTCCACAGTGTCCGAACAGTCCTATTCATATTCGATGTTGCTTAGATACCTGTTCACAAGAGCTGAAAATGGATCTAGGATTTGTTCTCGATGCTAGTGGTAGTGTCGGTGCAAGCAATTATAACCTGCAACGAAGCTTTGTCAAAGATTTACTTCGTCGAGTTAATGTTGCCAGAAATAAAACTCATGTTGGTATTATAAATTATTCGACGGGAAATGAGATTTTGACATGGCTAGATCGTGATTATACTCTCCAACAAAAAATTCAAGCAGTAGACAGATCAGTCTACTTTGGGCAAGGCACAAACACAGCTTCTGGTCTTCGGCAAGCAGATACGGTTTTTACATCTAATCGCGGTCTTCGAGAACCAGAAGACGGTGCCACACGAGTCATTTTTGTAATAACTGACGGCATGAGTGCTGATCGAAATGCTACTGTACAAGCTGCTCAAACTTTAAAAAACAAAAATATTCATATAGTCAGTGTCGGAGTCGGTGATGATTCGAATCTTGATCTCATCGAATTGCACGCTATTTGTACACCACCAGAAACTGAAAATTATTTTGCAATATCAAATTATGCAGCTCTTGATCGCAAATTAAATCAATTTACATCGAAAACATGTTCAGAACCTGCGCCTCTTCCAACAAACACTACTATTATTGATGAAGTCGGAAAAGATAAGTACAAATTTTTAAAAATTAAAATCGAAATAATTGGTAACAAAATTAAAGTTACCATTACGTTGTTGAATGGCAATGTACTCGTATTCTACTCGTTCAATAATCGAAATCCGAAAGATCCTGCTGAATTTAATCTTTATGAAACAAAGACAAGCAATTTCTTTGGAAGATTTTTCTCATTATTCGAATCATATTCAAAGGAAACACGAGCTTCCAGTAATGAAATGACATTGATCATTGATAAACCAGATACAAATCCGGAATTTGTCTATATTGGTGTCAAAGGTGTAGAAGATAATAACAAATTCGAAGTGAAATTCGATGATTGTCAATTTGTAACATGCAATAGTTGCACATTACTGTCAACAATGAACTTTCTCGCCATGATTTTGTTTATCGTGGCTGCTTTTCTCTTCTGCTAAAAACTATCGACTAAAAATCAATCATTTAACTTGCTGAATTTTCATGCTTGAATACGTTTAGTTGTTACAAAACTATCATAATCAAACATGGAATAAATTTAAGCTTTAATTATAGAAGAAGTTTCTTTTATTTCTAGGATGGTCTGAAGTGAGATGTGAGTATGAGGGTGTGAGAGTGTGGTGAATGGAGGGTAGGGTGTAGATAGAGGTTGCAAGTTTGAAGCTATGCTTACACCCACCAGCAATCTGTTATTTCATTATCAAAATATCTTTCTGAAATCAACACTACATTCCTGTGATTGATGAGTAAGTATAATTGCTGATAACTCTACATACAAATATAAAACGGCGTTCTGAACTTTTTTGAATTTTTTTTGAAATCATCATTTTCCCACAAACAAGATATTAGATCAGACAGAATCTTTTTTCTATAGATATTAGATGGAAATCTGTAGTCGCTTTCCATTCGTTTTCTGGAATATTTCTTCGTTAATTAATGGTAGATTTTACAAATCTTCGACCAACGCGAAATAGAGTATTACAGATTTAGTTTTTTTTTTTTTATAAAAGAAGTCTTTAAAAATCGCAAATATAGAGCCTATAGATTTGCGTATAATATTTATAATAAAAGTTCCAGCTGGGTTAAATGCATCCAACCAGAGAAAATAGTGCATTTTTGACCTTTTTATCACCACCTTCGACTCTGATAGGTACTCGAAGAAAGATTGCCATAAGTTTCAATCCATCATAAATTCAACTATGCTACTCGTGACCTAATTGACCTGAACGTTTCAGATTCGTTCAGCGCTTTTCTAGAAGTGCCGGCAAGAGAGGGAGCAACCTTACAACAGGACGATTCAATCTATTTGACAATCTTGTTGAACATGTTGAGAATTGATTGTAGATGTTTTTTTTTATTGATTTTCTTGGATTAGATATTAGATTTTTCAGGAAATTCATGTAACTAAACCTGTACTCGATGGGTGAGACTGTGACTGTGGTGAACAGAATAACTACACTCAAACATCCACACTCTGAAGTGCTAAAGTTCGATGAATATTATTGAATGCTTTCCTTCATTCTGAATGTTATTCTGCTCGAAGATATAACCAGTTGATAGTGCAAACTTTTTGTATCCATCAAACTTTATTTTTATTTATTTAGTTAAAGTACCTAAAGACGAGAAATACAGACATAGTTTCTTGTTATTTTCTTTTACGTAGTTTTGTTCTTTTTATTCTAGGATACGGGCTCTGGTGTCAAGTTTCTCTTTATGCATATCTACCCACTCATACTCTAATTGAAATTCTCGTGTATTCTCATGTTTTATAGTAATGTTATCAGTACATTCAGAATCAGTGTAATATTCTGTTCGGTGACTGACACTATCCATCAGTAAAATGGTGCATTGTTTGAAAAAATTTATTAAATATTAAAAAAGTTTAGCAGATACATTTTATGTAGTCGAATGCTAAACTAGATTCAAACGTCAGTTATTACATACTTAGGATAAAAAGCATAATGTAAAAGAATAAAAAAAAAGAATCTTATGAAAATATTTTGAATAATAATATAGATACTGCTTTTTTCAATATTTATCCTCAGTCTCTGTTCAACTTTATATACTGACAAAATGTAAAAAATTGAAGTGGATTAGAAAGGAGAAGAGTGGTCAAGACCATTTTGCAGTCCCCTTAAAATTGATTTGTTTCCAACAGGTTTAAGCAAGGGATCGCTTCTGATCACTTTGCTCAACTTTATTAACCAAAAATACGACATTAGCGATTTTTGTGCCTGGAGCGAGCACTCCGACTAGTATTATGAGAAGAAATTCTTTTTCCACGAGTTAAAAACCAGATGTGCTTGTAGATTCACGGATGCTGATTGCGAATATGGCAATAAGGGATCTCAAAACTTCTTTATTTCATAAGTAGTCCTAGTCATTCTGTGGATAATGTTTCTCATTGTTGGGGCCCTCATAGAATATTTATTTAATAAAATCGAGCGAAAAATATCTTTTTTAACCTAGAATTTTGAGTTTTCTATGAATCCGAACTTTTTATGTCGAAAAAATGGCGATTCTCCAACAGAGATTGATTTTTTGTTATATTAGTACGTTTTTGTGTCGGTAACTTTTCAAGTTCTATCGATTATTAATCTCAGAATCAAAGGAAAAGTTGTGCAACAGGATCGAAATTGCGAAATTTAGACAAATTTGACTTTGTTCTGTTGAAATAAACTGTAATTACATGATTTTCAACATGAAAGCAGTCTTGTTGACACACCATAACTTAAAATACACAGTCAACAGAGGTCAGGTAAATACAACTTATAAAAATATTATTTTTTTTATTTCAATGTCTCTATATTGAATTTATATTTTTATTTGCTTACTGAAGTGGAAAATGTTATTTTGAATCTATTGTAAAACTCTCTTATAACTAATTCAGTACAAGAAAAGATAGATACACATGTGATTGGTGTTGCTACATGGAAACACTAATCACATTTCTTAATTCACTTTTTTTAATAGCATAATGTGTACAAGGTCTTCGGTGTGCAACCAATTCATTGATGTAATCGAGTCAATATTGACAGTTGCAATAAGAAACATAAAGACTTAATTATCATATTAGTAAATAGAAAAATGATATAACAAAGACAACAAATAGATCGTTATACTTCAATCAGTTCTATTGAATCAATACGATTTTTTTATTTTATTTATAAAGTGTTTCATACGTATAGATTATTTTTTCGTTGTTATTATTGTTAAGCTAGTTTTTCTCTTTCAACAATAATAAATACTAATATACAAAATTCTAGATTTATTCTTTATTAATTTTTGATTATATAATCTTCTATAACTTCCTTCACTTATTCATATCAAAACGAAAAAATTAAGAACTATTGATTCTAAGAAAACTCCATTGTCAAATGCATCAACTAAAGATTATGTGATTAATCTAATCTCAAAAGACGAATTCAATTAAACTCGTTGAATTGATTAAAAAAACGAGAATTAATGAATGATTATTGCAAAACAATAAAACCCGGTCAGTAAAATATGCGTAAAAATATGTTTTCTTAACTGATCTTTCCGTAGTGATACGTATTCTTTTTTAAGAGTCTATTCTGACTGGAAAACGATATAATTTTTGTTGTCTTTGAACCTTTTAATTTGATGGAAAAAAAAAGCTGTGCTATTTGTATAGCATTGAATGTTTCTCTTATCTCTGTTCAATAAGATTTGGTTAACAATAACGAGTAAAAAAAAATAAAGATTATGCATTATAGTTTAGAATAATTCAATTTATATTTTTTTTTGAATAGTTATAAAAAAAAATAACACTATCGATTGAATACTTTTCATCTGAATTAATTTCATTGCATACGCAAACAGAATAATCATGTAGTTTTCTTTTCGAAAGTATAAATTTTTAATTGAAATTTATTTTTATATCTAAGATTACATGAAATTGTTTGAAATCATTTAGATTTCATTGATTCTCTAAATTTATACTTTAGGAGAGAAAAAAGAATCGTACCATTATTATCAATACTAATTTTGCTATATGCTTTAAATTTCAGATGTCAAAACATTCAAAATATTCTTATATTGACTCGACAATTGAAAGTAATTAGTTATTTGAAGTGAAATCTGCTGATCGAATGAGAATGTTTATGAAGATCTTCTCGCTACGCACACTCAAACGTATACTCACATGCATACACTATGCCCTGTCGTCAATCAATCAAGTTATAACAGTTCCATATGGTTATTTGCACAATAAAATTCAATTGAAATTGAAATTTGGAACAATTTACGTATGGTGTCTTGTAAGTAACGTTATATTTATTTTTCGTTTATGTCGAATAGTATAACTATCATATTCTCCATCAAGTACAGCGCAAAAAAGTCGAGATAAGAATAAACGACGCCTTGAATCTTTTTTACTTATCATAGAACGAGCAGTATCAACGAGTTAGATATTCAATTTGTCAACATTTTTGTAAAAAGATATAAAAGAGCAATAACATCTGTAAGCAAGTGTACTTCTATTTTCTAGACTAATCAAGAGTAAGTTGTAATCATTTTCATAAATGAAATTTCTAGAAAATGATCATATAAACATAAGAGATCGATTAACGTAGTCAAGAAGGTTTTATTTTATCCACAGCAGATGGAATTTTGAAAAACAGTAAAGTAGCGAGTCGTCTTCTTAGCCAATGGTGTTTACATTTCTGCTGCTTTCTGTCTTTATTGGTCCCTCTTCCAGCGTCTCACACTACTTTGTATAACAATCAGTAAACAAAATGGGCATGCATAAGTAATAAGCAAGAGAAGGAAGAAGGTACACATATGAAACATGAAAGAATATCTCAAAGTCAACAGTTCGTCTCTTGAATCTAGCAGAAAACAAACAATAAGAATAGAATAGTGATAATCTGTTACAATATGCAATTTTCATGATAATAACCTCTTCAAAACTGTATTTGCCTAACTAGCTGACTACTTACTTAAGTAAAGAAAGACGTTGCTGTTGATGATAAGAAATTTCTCAACAAAGAATGATGGAACTTAACTGACAGAAAGATATAAAGTAGAGCAATAGTTTTCTTGTAAAAATGAATCAAAACAATATATCATACAAAAACAGAGTCCTCGTTCATAGATATAAAAGAGCTTGCTTTTTCATTCATTTATCAACAATTTCAAGTAAAACTAGACAAATTTCGTGATATTCCAATATTGATTAGTCTTTTTCAGAGGTACAACCCGGTCGTAGTTACACGCATTTACTGCTTAAAATTGCATCGTCAATAACTAGAGCACTTATTCTATTGTCTTTCAATACAATATCTTCAAGATAAACAAAATAATATAGTGAATATATCTTTAGATGTTATTGTTCCTGCTTGTGCTTGCTTTCTCATTATCCAAAGTCCGATCAATTGCATTCGAACCATATAGTCTAAGAACGCAGAGTCTCTATGAACCGCTTGGAATAGATGTTAAGATACCACTACTCAGCTGGCGATTACAAAGTTCGGAAATTACTCGTGGCATAAGTCAAGTAGCTTATCAGATTCGAGCTGCTCATCATGAGAGAGATCTGGAAGTGAACCCGTTGTGGAATTCTGGAAAGATTGTATCGGATTCTACAGTGATTACCTGGGGAGGACCAACACTACGATCTAGAGAAAGAATTCTTTGGCAAGTGCGACTTTGGGACAGTGATGGTAAGACATCGGGATGGAGCAAGATTGCATCGTTTGAGATGGATCTCTTGAATGCACGTGACTGGGATCCGGCAGTTTGGATTAAGAACAAGGATTATGCAACTGGTAATACGTCTCTTCCTTACTTTGTTAAGCGCTTTAGAATCTCAAGCGCAATATCAAGTGCACGACTATGGATTGTAGGATTGGGCCAGTTTGTTACAACAGTTAATGGTCAATCGGTGACAAGCGGTGTTCTTAATCCTGGATATTTCGATTGGAATAAGACCATTGAATATTCAACTTATAATGTTACGGCTGCTCTGAAAGATGGTGATAATGTCCTGGGTGTAGCTCTAGGAAAAGGAATTTATAGAGCTGAAAAACCACTTGGTGGGCGATACTACAAATTTCTCACAACACCACATCCAATGAAGTTGATTGCACAACTACAACTGAACTATACAGATGGAAGTTGCCAGTATATGGTATCGGATTCTAGCTGGCTAACTACTGTTAGTGGTCCTTTGCTTGAATCTAGTTGGTACGGTGGTGAAGAATATGATGCACGAAAGGAACTTCTTGGTTGGGATACACCAACATATGACCATTCGACATGGAAGATGGCAGATATTTCGAGCATACCAAATCCCAACGCTATCTATCGAGCTCGAGAATCTCCTTCTATCCAGTCAGTTGAAGAAATTACTGCAATCTCTGTTACAGATCAAGGTAATGGTACGTATATCTTCGATTTTGGAGTCAACCATGCAGGCTGGCCAAAGTTAAGTATGAGAGGTGCACGTGGAACAACTGTCACTATGAGACCAGCTGAGCTGCTCAACTCAAATGGAACTATCAATCAAGTGACGGAGGGAACTCCGATTTATGATCGTTATACCTTTTCTGGTAACGGCATTGAAACCTATGTTCCAACCTATAGGTAAGCTCAAACAGTTTGTTTTTTGAAAAAAACTCAACGAATAATTTCTGTAGATATCATGGTTTTCGATATTTGCAAGTAGAAAACTTAACCTATGCACCACAAGTCAACGATCTCAAAAGTTATACATTGCGTATTAACAACGATGTAACCGGCACGTTCAACAGCTCTATTGAACTCTTAAATAACATTCACAAAATTGTCAATCGAGCTGTACAGAGTAATATGTTCTCTGTATTCACTGACTGCCCTCATCGGGAGAAACTTGGCTGGCTGGAAGAAACTCATCTCGTCTTTCCTGCGATTGAGCGCTTTTTCGACGTTCAAGCCCATGGTCGCTCAATCGTTCGTCGCATAGTTGAAGCGCAGCTGAGTAATGGGATGGTTCCCACAACCGCGCCTGAATATCCAATTTTCAGCGGTTCCTTTCGTGATGAGCCGAATTGGGGGAACAGCATTATTCTCCTGCCATTGTATCTTTATAGGTCTTACGGAGAGAGAGCTTTATTAGAAGAATTTTATTCCAACATGGTTTCATGGATTGATTATTTGACGTCCAAAGCCGAAAATAATATTGTATCATACGGTCTTGGTGACTGGTATGCCATCGATCAATCAACTCCTGTTGGAGTCACCGGGACATATGGGTATTGGATGTCTGCTAATGGACTTGCGACGATTGCATATGCTTTGAATAGAACTGTTGACGCCCAGAAATATTCTGACTTAGCATCAAAAATCTCGTCTGCCTTTCATACGACCTACTTCAATGCAAGTGCCCATACCTACGCTACAGGAAGTCAAGCTGCTGATGTATTTGCATTAGAAATGGATGCAGTGCCCATCAAAGAACAACAAAACGTTATTCAACATCTGATAAATGACATCCGTCAGCGTGGGAACCATACCTCCACTGGCGAAGTTGCTCTACCGTCCTGGTTTCGAATGCTAAGCTTCTATGGTCATGACGATGTAATCTATGACTTCCTTTCACGGACAGACAGTCCAAGCTATGGTTATGCAATTATTCACGGTGCAACATCTCTCACTGAAGATTGGGATGGTCCTGCTCCAGCTCGAGGTCAATCGCTGAGCAGTCAAAATCATTTTATGTTTGCTGCAGTGGACGAGTGGTTGATGCGGTCTCTTGCCGGCATACAACAAGCTGCTAACTCTATAGACTATCGCATCTTAAATATTAAACCTGCTATTGTTGGCAATATCAGTCATGTCGAGGTGACTTATAGGACAACCAGAGGGTGGATGAAGACTCGATGGAATCGAATTGGAACAGCTTTTACATTGCAAGTTATGCTTCCATATGGATCGATTGCGAATGTTTATGTACCGGGAATGAACGCAACATCAAATTATGGAATGCTGATTCAAGTTAAAAAGACAGAAGCTATGACCGTATTCAAAATTGGAAGCGGCAGTTATACGTTTAAATCGGTTTTTGATGTAAATACAAAACGGGAATGAATGCATACAATTGTCTAATAGTTCGCAATAAACTTCTGCTCATGTGAAAACTGACTATAGATGAAATAAATGACAATGATTTCGATCATCTAAATCTGTCCAGAAACGATTTGCATCGCTCAAAAAAAAAAAGGAAAAAGGGTGTAGGTGTGTGATTTTAGATGTGGTTCTAAGGTAAGAGTATGTGGATACTATATTCACACCATCAATGATTGAACCCACAGGTCATACACTTAGGTGTGGGCAGCACTCTTCCTCTTAACCACAATCACATCTACACGTACAGCCATCTACATGTGAGACAGTTTTTAATTTTTGGAAATATCGATTTAATCAATATGATAGTGCAGACTCATTACTACGAGGATATTTTGGGCTCATGTGTCGTAAAAGAAATTTTAGAAGTGAATTGATTGAAAAAAATATCTGTATCGTTCTAGGCAAAGGTTTTAGAACACTATTTCGAACACGCCACCAAACAATGTATCAAAGTTCGATGATACACATGTATGAACGATATGAAGAATTTTGTAAACCTTTAAAATATTTCTAATATTCATAGCGGTTTAAAATAACTTATTGCTTTTCAGTTATATAGCAGGAAAGCGCATTATTTTAGAATTGAAAGTCTTGTGTGCATTGATTATTTTCTGCATGATACTGGATAAATAAATTGTAAGTCTGTGACAAAGTTATAACAAGTATTGCTCATGATTTTAAATTGAAATTAAATCATCAGATATCGTATTTAGTTATAATTATGAAGAGAGAGTAGAAAAGTAATGGAAGAAAGCATGAAACAAAAATAGTAGGGAAAATATGAAACGACTTTTTATCCGTTCTTGACAGCTTCGATTTTCAGCTGTGTCCACGTAACCATTTGAGTTATTTGTTGATCAAAATAATGATATTCATTGCCAGCTTGTTGCCAATCGCATGAACATTTTATTGGTGCTTTACCATCACCTTGTCGTTCTTTCCTTTTACCCTCAAATCTCCACCGACAATTATTAAATCCACATATCATCGGTTCAACATACTTTTTACATATCGGGCACATGGTTGTAGTATCATCCGAATCTGTTACAACATCAAATACTTTGTAACCAATTGTCATGATAACTTGCTCTCCGTTAGCTTCACATTGTGGATTTGTACATATACCTTCCAGACATAAACCACGTCCAGCTATTCGCCATCGTGGAGCTTTTGTTGCCCATGGAGTTCGCTTAATACCTTTACCATCATTAACATCGACAAATCTCAATCCCAAAGCGCCTAAATTACGAGTTGTTTTAGTAAGATCATGCAATTGTATTTCAGAACCTTCTTGCACATCATAATACCCAAGAGTTTCTGTATCATTATCGAGTACATCTCGAGTTGAAATGTGGATAAGAGATTTTTTTCCTAAATCATGTTCATTGACTGTCTTTTCACGAAATAATTGTTTGAGTTGTTGAACTGTTGTTGACTCTTCTACATCAAATTCATATCTTCGTCCCAGTCCATCAAGTGTTTGAATATACACCTTCATGATAAATCTATGAATAGCAAAAATAATTAGATCATATTTGTAAGGGATATTGTCATTTGGTTATTCAAAATATATATGAAGAGACATAAAATAAAAGATCAACAATTGAAAGATTTTTTGCTAACAATTAACTATTAACCAATCAACTTACCTCTAACCCAGAATAATAGCGAGGAATTCTACTTTGTTTTCTACTCGTACAACAATCGATGATAAGTTTCAAATGAAACAGGCAGAATAATCTGAAACAAATTGAAATATTTTAAATAGAAAAACATTTTACTATAATTTTTTTTTGCTTCGAGGTGTGGGTGTTGATACATTTGAAACGAATACTCACACCCACACCATACAAAAGTCGAAAACACAACACAGAAGAACACTACATGTGAATAAAACATCATTAATCTTATCGTATACATTCTTTTTAAATGAATTGACATACTGCCAAAAGCGACTTTTTGAACCAGATAGATTTCCACATGTGTGAATGAATAGATCAAAAAATGAGAACACACCACTGCTTTTGAATGAATTCTTACTATTTACCTTTGAAAAATATTACAACGACAAATAAGTAATTTGAAAACTTTTTTTTCAAAGGTCGATAGAAAACAGTTCAATCTAAAGATGAAAAACGATTGTCCAACAAAAAATATGGTCAAAATACTGTTCATCATTGCTCTATCTCAAATCTAAATGATACTTTACGACTAATTTAATTTGTATTTTAAGTGCGCCTCTATAACTGTAACTGAGATAATTAAAAAAAAAATAGTGAGTGTTCTGATCTATTATAGTAGAGAGATTGATATTACCTCATATACAATGATTTTCGGTTCGATTTTTCGTAAAGAATGCACACATTTTACTTGTATTAGAGAGAAGAGATCCTCAATATTTGTCTATATCATCGAATAATTCGAACACGACAATGGAGTTTAAAAAAATCTTCAATTGTGAGAAATTGTTTTATCATGAATAAATTCAAAATAGCTGTTTCGTCAATGGTAATCGGTAAATGATTATCTAAACTAATGGCAGTATACGGCGAAAAGCATCAGCTCAAGATGCAATTATTAATTTAATTTTACACTATTGTTCATAATTTGATTTCGCAAGTCGTCAGTTTGTTTTTCGAATAATATAAAGGCATCAAGATTGCTACTTTATGTCTTAATAATCATGCACTGCAAATGCTTTTTTGTTTTTACAGGTAAATATATTAAGAGAACGTGGTTTGGAGCATTCCAATAAAGACGTAGTGAGTAAGAATGAAGAACAGAACAAGCAAGATACTTGTCGGCGAAAGAAAAACAACCCTCCAAACGTGACTAACAACAGTCGTTACTGGAAATAACAAGCAATAGAATCAAGAGAAAATGGTTGTAGATGTAGGTAGGTAACGGATATTCTTTCATCTACATCCACACTCAAGAATTACTTCGATAGGCATGAGCAAATATCCAACACGAATACTCTTAGTCGAAAATTCTTTTATAAATATGATTTACTTGTTTAAACGTAATATTCTTAATGATATACAATTGCTACTGAGCAATAGGAATTATTTTCGTACTACGAAAGTTACATGTCTTCCTGATAGGCGAAGTTGCTCATTATATCATGGTGCGAGGTCACTAAGACTTTTGAACACATCATCGTCGAAAATATTTTGCAACTTAGAGATTTCAATATTGATGTCCTTGAGTTCCTTGAGAAAACATCGCATGGCATCAGTCTTTGTTGTTGGAGAATTGCAGGGTGTTGTTTTTAACGAAGGCACACAGGGACTCGAATGGTTGATAAAGTCAAGACGTATTTGGTCAACGTCTATAGCAAGGTTCAGCTCACTAGTTGAAAGTGCAAAGTCCACTACATCCCAAGCCATGTTTTTGTCGTGACGGTAACAGAGCCAAAAATATCTGTTCGGATATTCTTTTTTCACAAATTTCGATGATGTAAGTTGGATCTGTTCAAGTTTTTCAATAAACGTTATTTCTTTGTAAGTTGGAGTTAGCAAAAATGAGTGACAGTGCTCTTGATTATACTTGCGTGTGCCGAGACAGTAAACATGTGGAAATTTTTTTTCAATGACTCTGAATGGTAGAGTCAAACGGAAACAACCGTATCGAGAATTTTCTCCATCAAGCGAAGGACACACTTGACTTTCGATAAGGTTCGGTGGCGGAAGAGGAGAAAACCAAACGAGATCTGGTCCATTATAAATTAAATGTGGTCGACCTTTAAGACATAATTGTCGTCCAACATCTATCACGCGTTTCGAATCGATTAGATGCAAAATATTGAGAAGATCTTTCACGTTGTGAACCACATGCTGAACCTTGTCAAATGGGATTTGTTTGAGAAGTTCTCTATACTGCGGTGGTATTAAAAAAGTTCTGTGTAAAAATTCCCATCCTCTTCTACGATCGGCCCAGGTTGGGTACCCGGGAAAAATAAAAATTTTGAACTTGTGCCTACAGAAAAGACTTCCGTCAATTTGATTATATACTTTTTCGAAGTTGAGTTTACGGAGAATCGAATAAAGAACATTTAAAGATTTATCGAATTGGTGTAAATTCCCAGATGAAAGAGCAACACGATTTCGCCGTTGAGAACTTCTCGAATTATTGCAATCGTGATAGAGAGTGGAGTCGATCGTCGTAATAATATGACTGACAAGAATATCAGATGGTTCAGGATTGTCATTCAGAAATTCTTCAACCGCATTTAACAATTCTTGGGAGCACTGTAACGAATGGTTCCATGATATACAAGCATTCTGACTGAATTTAGCCAGTGTATGATACAACTTGTGTTCTTTTGCAACTTTTGCGTAGTCGTCATTCTTATCGCTGCTGCTCGCCATCTGACTATGGAGTTTGAGAATAATGTATGCTCTCGTTGCTTTCATAGTTTCACCTGAATATTGACATAAGGTGTCATTATTGATTTTTTTCATCTAGCAGTACAAAGTAAAAAGACTCCACAGAATATGAAATCTTCGTAAGGGCACATGAGCTTTCTAATCGCTTTCAAATAATCTTAAAACCAATTATCAAAAGGGTATATGAAGCCCTATAAAGATTATGTCCAAAATGATCACGAACCTAAAGAGAGCTTCTGAGATGATAAAAGGAAGCCTTCAGTTTATTAACTACACAACGTTTACAAGAGAGTTATCGAAATGATCCTTAAATTACCAAAACGGTTGAAAATTCCGTAGCACTCAATCATTGTTCGGACGCAGCAACACAACGAAAGTGAACTTGCTCATGCTACTCGTCTCACAACATGTCGCAGAAAATATAAAAAAACCTGAATGACGTGAAGAAAAGAAAAAAGTAAATTATCTTGTTTCGTTTCGGTCATAAAACGTTTCATCATAATCAGCAGAAATGAATCAAGACGAAGCAAATTAAAGTTAAAATAAGCTAATCGATTCTTCTCCAAATGTGATGAGAGACTATCACGATAACTAAGCCAAGAAAAATAAAGGAAAAATGAATTCAATTAACATATTTTCGTCCATAAGAAGTTAATTAATTATCTGGAAAGCAAATGATGGAAACAAAATAAACGTTATTTAATTTCTTTCATAAGATCGTGAACAATTATGACTATAACAAATGAAAAATTGAACTACACTAACTTATTCGATTTTTCTTATAAGATGCTGGACAGTTATCGAAGACAAGAAATGTAAAGTTACTTTTCTGATTCTATTATCATTCTGTAGTGTGCATCAACAATCGGGAAAACTAAAGAAAAAAAAAAGAAAAAATGAAAGTAAACTATCGACATAAGTATTATAGAAAAAGAAGTGAACTATAATAACTTATTCGATTTCTTGCATAATATCATTAAAAACTGCGGGAATGCCTAAATGAAGAAGGAAAACAAACAAACTAAACAATTTTATTCTGTTTCTGTGATGAGGCGCTGAAGAATCATCATAATAACTAAATAAATAAAATAAAATAAACACAGTAGTGCCTTGTTCTATTCTTCTCATACGATGCTAGACAGCTATCAGGATGACTACATCGTAAAAAAATGTCAAAATAATCTACCTCTATACGTAGAATAATAAACGCTTCCAATGAAAACTGTGAAAGTCTATCTTTGTAAGGATGTAAAAAAGTGCCATTCTTTGCATCATATTTTCTTCAGCAAGTTTAGATATTAGCAAATGAATAAACTCGTTCATAGGACGCTATTTTTGTTGCATGTTTAGAAAGAACAATGAGAAGGAATTTTTATAATTCAACCTATAAAACTTTGCCTCTTATAAGTTTGAAGAGCAGACGCTCGATTGCCATTAATTAATATATTCTTCAAGTATTCAAGAAAGCTTTCACTTGTCCAATCATACTTTTATTAATATTCGTATCGATAAAATTAATTTTCAGTCAATTCTGAAATTGAATTAAATTATCCTACAAGACAAATTTCTTTAATAATAAAAAATGAACAATTTGAATCATGTTAAAAAGAAAAAAAAATAATATAAAAAAATAAATGCCTCCACGCAGGATCGAACTACGGACCTCCAGTTTACAAGACTGGCGCTCTACCACTGAGCTATAGAGGCATATTGACCGCCTTTTTTTTCTTGTTTTTTCATCTAATCGAAACACAGTTTCATATTTGAACTTCATATAATTAGCTTTTTTCTATATCTTCTGATTTATCACGATCCGAACGAAAGACTTAATCTACGAAGACAAAGAAGAATTTTCCACTACAGAATCTTCTTGTTCTCAAGTCTCTTTTTAAAGTGAAGTTAATTTGCGCAAGTTTATATTCTTTAAATATATTTGAATGTTAGTGTGAGTAAAAGTGAAAATATCTTCGCATTTCTTCAAAGTTACTATTTTTCAAGCAATCAAGAACACAAAAGAAAAAAAAAGTAAGATAAATGCGCATGCCGTTTGCAAAGCTCATAGTAACAAGTGTAAAAGAAGTTTTGTCGTAAATTTAAACAGTAAAAACTAGCCCAAAATTCAACAACAACAATATTGAAATTTTCTAATAATAAAGAAAGTTCTTTTTTCTGAAACCAATGTTAATTGTTCAAATTGACAAGAACAAATATTTTTATATGACTGCAATTTTGTTTACTTCTCATAGATTTGATTATTTCTGATTGAGACTATAAGTGCATAACAATCTTTACATTTAATTTTACTGATGAATGAAATTTTCTATTGTGTCCATGGCTACTTCATATGATTCAATACGCCGTATGCAAATTCCTTCGAGTAGAAAATCGAATAAACTTTTGAACATCAATTAATCAGTGACTTTCATGATTGTCAATGTCTTTCTAAAATGAATACTCGGATAAATTGAAAATTGTTAAGAACTGGTCGAGCATGAAATACGCCTTTTTTAACTTGAGAAAACGAATAATTTTTTTTTCACTTACTGGAAACAGAAGATGATAATTATAACGGTTGCCTTACATCTGAAAAAGATTCTGCTTCGTTTATTCTTATATTTTACAATCGTGGAATGAAACATCAAGTTGTTTTAGACATCTTTCGAATGTACGATAATACCCAAGCATAATTGTTTTGCTTATAAAAGGTCGCATCGATTAATATACAACTTCATACTCGATAAGACCAAAATGTTTTTCCTATACCTGATTCGACTCGCGCTATAGCTTCTTCTACAAGAGAATTTTGTCAAAAAATTTATTTAGAAAAATCTATCATGATTTGTCTTAAGGCAAATTTCATAGATGAATAGTCATTTCGAATTTAGAAATAAATACTTAATGCTGGAAGTGATGCGTTAAATGAACAAGCCACACTATGAATTATCCAGAAGGCCAAACCTTTAGTTTTTCAGCAACTGTCACTCAGACATAAAAAATTTGCTCACATTATACAAAATGGCAGAGCAAATTATTCTCTACAAAATAAAACGCTCTCGAGGGTTCGGGTTAAGAAAAAAAACATTCAAACATTCGCATCCACACCCTACAACTATAATGACACCCATATCCACACTCTAAAATGGTTGATAATATTGTGTTGGTTTTTGATATTTTTGTTTGTCGATTAATATGACATATCAGTTTCTTACAGAAATAAATTTAAAAAAAGCAAAAAGAAAACTGAAACTAAGAAAATAGATTTAACTGAGACAACTGATGTGAAATGTGAGAAACTCTGCAGATAATTTCTAGCAATGAAATGCATATAAGATTAAATATGGCTCTAACAACAATCATGAACTTTATAAAAGAGATTAAATTTAATGAAACGATCAATGTTATTTTTCAGTATTGAATTTGTTTCACTGACAATAATTTGATAGCTAAACAAATAAACCAAAGTATACAGGAAGTATCAATCTCTTGCTTTCATTTGATGTTATTATCAGAATGATACAATGATGTAAATCTTCTAGCAAGAACAAAAGAGATAAAAGTTACAGTCTCATTTTTTCCATATTCATATTGTCCTATGACGTTCGGTGGAAAATGCGAAAAAGAACAATACCGAAAAAAAAAACAGGAAAATGACGAAGAGGAAAGCGTAAAAGAGAAATTGAAAATGTAATTTTTGTAATAATAATAACGACAAGAATCATTTTATCCGATCGTATACAAAAGGATAATACAGAAGAAAAAGCAAAGTTTATATATCTTAATTCCGCTTTTTGTACGATGGCGGTGGATGTAGGTCTTTTGTTTACTCACTCGTCTTCACACATTCTCACCTCCTGTTCGAGATCATGAATAGTTTTCTTTAGTGATAATAAATACAAAAAAAGTACCTTTCGATAAGTATTTATTATTCAAATAGAAAGTGGATAGTTTTGTTAAGAAACCATAATTGTAATCCGAAATACAGACTATATGTGGTGGTTCAATTATACACTTCATATAACACGTCTGAATATTGAACATAATATTACCAGCACATTTAATGATGATTATCATACAACACCAATGGGATTCAGCGATTGACTTTTTAATAGAGAAATATTAAGACTTTTAAATTTTCATCTTCATTCAGAATAAAAATTATAGATCCAATAATGAATATTAAATGTATCTTTTTCTCTTGATCCAATTATTTTGACTACATGTTATTTAGAAATGATATGAAATATGTTGCTGAAATTCATCTTAATTTTATTAATCGTATTCATTATCAGATGACTATATTCAATGGTTTTATACAACGCTATTTAAGATATAAATAATACAAATTATACAGTTACTAATCGCTACGTTGATGTATTATGAGATCAACAGGAATGATATTTTGATATGGCACACACATTACAAAAACATATTGTTCAACAATAATCACATTATCTTCGACTTTACTTTTGCTATGTCATATGAAAGAATTTTAGCGGCATGAAAGTTTCTTGGCATCGTCTCTATGTACTGAAGGGGATATATCGAAAGCGTTTAAACGGATGATCGGTTTCACTAAAAGTCTATTTGAAAACTTTCGTCAAAAATTAGATTTAGAATATCATTGTGAATCACGACCGGTATATAATTGTACAGTTCATGAAAAGTTTGGTATTTATTATTGTTCAGATAATTGATTATATGTAGCAGTATATCTAGTGTGTCTCGAATAACATATTTCTTTTTAACCACTTGGGTCTGGATTATTTTTATAAAAGCATTTTAACACAAGGTATTTTGAAACTTTACAGATACCTGCTTTGAATATCTGAGTATTGAGACGATTTTAAGCACAATACTTGACTAAGCTCCTGGAACACACTAGTACCATGATACCTTGTTGGGTACTCTACACTAGATACTTTCACTAGGTTATGCATTGGACTAGTGTTCTATACGAGTTAGACTTCTCACAACCGAATCAGGAGCCAAAGATCTGTACCTCGTATCCGACCAGGACTAATCAAGATACTCTAGATACTTTCACAGTTACAGTACGGTGTTAAAACTTTTATTTTTTATGCTTTTATATAAATTAGCAGTTTGATAAAAAAAACATCTGAAAATATTGAGATCTCATTAGTTTTCGAGTCATATTCGAGTATGAGATCATATTTAAACCCAACCTAACATTTTTTTTCATGCCCCGGGTCTGACCGAGTGCCAGGTACCTGACTTGCGTTGATCTATGACCTCTATAGCTGCGCAAGTCATAACAGTTTTAATGCAGAATAAACATTTTCTTCTCTACTAAAAGCTAGGTGGTAAAATGTGTATGTGTCATCGGTTCCCATGAATTAATTCACTATTAATTTTTATTAAAAATTTATCATGTTTAATATCATTTTAGCTCCAAACAATTTACGGATATTTAACATATCACAGTTTTTCAGCAAGAATATTGTAGATGATCCCGCTCTTATTCTTCTTTTAATTTTTTACTATTGTTTTCCATTATTTGTGATTATCTTGAATACAATCTAGACGTTTTCGATACCATATACATTCTTCTTCAAGTCCATATTTTTCACATAGATTAATAAATTTTTCATATACATCTCGAACATTAAATTGAAATGTTGAATAAAGTTTACGTAAACAAACAGGACATAGATATAAAGGTTGTCGATCCATTTCAATTTCATTATTTGCACCATTCATTAAACAAATATAATAGATACAATGTTTTAAACCAAATAAATGACCTAATTCATGTAGAAGAATTTTTACACAACGTCGAAGCATTATTATACGATGTTCATCAGTTAATGGAGATGAGAGTAATGTTTGTGCTGATGCGGGATATAATGGATCAAGACGTGCAAATGAATAAACACCAACACCGTCTATTGGTCGTGCTTGTCCATAAACCCAGTCCATAATTTCATCGACGTAAATATCAGCCATAGTTACAGCAATACATAAAAGTTCGCGTCTTACATTACGTTTATGACGTGTTTGAGACAGATACTTATAAAAGCCATTTGTACGATATTGTCTTATTCCATCACTTTCTCTATATTTCATATCTTTCGAAAAGTCAATACTTCGCAATAATTCAACTTCACATCCAGAAAAAAATACACGAGCAAATTCAATGATAATATCGAATGGTATAGTTCTAAAATTCCATATTCATAATTCAATCGAAAAAACAACAAAATTAATTTTTACCGTGGATGATTAAAACTGCCAACTGGTTGAATATAGATAGTTTTATAACTATTATGTACAAAATAGAAATCTGCTCAATGAAAGAAAAGAAATGATACGTCATAACTTACGTTGCATGGGGAACAGCTTTTGATGTTCTACATTCGAATGATTTCATAGTTTGTCCTTTTTCTTGATGATCTCTCAACCAATCATCATCCTTAGGTTCTGGCACTGGTTGAAAACTCTCATCAAGCTTGTTTGTCACAGCCATTTGCATATCTCTTGGTAACTACAACAAGAAACAACTATGTAAGAGACAACCATGTTGTATGTACACTAGACCTGTTTAATATCACCAAGAGCTTCAGCAATACGTTTAGTATCGGGAGGTATGAAATTCATATTTACTGTAACATATAAAAATAATTAAAAATTTAAGCAATAATTTAAATAGGGTTTCATGAGTCAATACATCAATTATGAGTAATTTCATATAATTCTACCAATCCAATGAATTTTTCTTTGATTTTTAACTATAAACATTACACAAAGAAGGACATGACAAGCCAAGAGCGGTCTCTAGCGAAAAACTTGAATTTCAGAAATTCCATACGAATGATCATGTCGAACGAAATTTTTAATAAGCTTATAAAACTTTAATTTATTATATCCATAGTACACGAAAAATGAGTTTAAATTTGAAAGTTTGTTACAATTATTCAGGTAAATTTTAGAAACAAAAGCATAACAAACGAAACGATTTTTTATCTATTTTTTCATCTTTCAATAGTATTTATTTCTACTGATAGTTAAATTTATAAATATAATACTCATTCTTGTAATATTTGATATCAGACTAACAAAGATCAAATACTAAATATATACAGATTGGAGATATGAGATATGTAAGTGTTTTCTTTACTGCTACAGCGGAGTCTCGTTTTATGAATTAAATTTGAGACAAGAGAAATTTTTTCTATTTCAAATACTATTCGAAATACCGATTAACTACGAGTGAAATGTAAGTAAAGTACGAATACAATCTTGTCTTTTCGTTGTTAAACACGATTGATACTGGAAGTACACATGAAGTACAGATATGATTGTAGTTACACCATTTTTTCCTAATTAAATCTCATATGACTTCGAGCCACACATAAAATATATTTGCTGTCAGTAACAGAAAACAAATCTATAGAGGTAGAAAAGATACCGCGATCATTCATGGATTAATTACGAGCCGTACTTAGTGTTTTGATATAAATATAATGTTATCAATAATACATGTAAGAAATATCTGCTAATTACAATGAAATTTTTCAAATTTTTTCTCTTGCTTTGTTCTATATCTTGATTTTTTTCTCGTTGGCATACAAAGCACACAAGCTGATTCATTTATTAAAAAAAACCCTGATGTCGTAGAATATATCTTCAATTGCAATTATTTATTTTTATCTCACTATTACTGACTGTGATTTGTCTAATAACTGGTGAAAGTTGGAACTTTCATGATTTAGGATTCAATATTTGAAAAGAAACATATTCGTCATGTGCTGAACATTCTCAATCATTAGTCAACATTAAAAACCATAATTTTATACTATTTAAATAAGGGAGTTTTCTGAAATCACATGATTAATCATACGTTTATCTTAAAGCATCGTAGGGATCACAATGTCTATGAGTACAATATATATTCCTTAAGGATTATAACCAGTATATAGATTTTCAACACATCAAAATTTAAGGAAAACTTGATCTCTTATATATCATTCGATGCGCTGCAAATTGCTCTACAAAACCATATGTATGGTGTTCTGATTCAAGATAGATCATAAATCCAGCAAGGATGTCTACAAGAGATAAATAATTCAGTTGTATTCGATTTCAATTTAGTGTTATCGATGAAAAGTTATTTAAATGATTTTTGCCTTTTATGAAGATTCATTAACAGTATATCCTTGCACTGGAAGTATTATTTGAACTGTATTCAAAATATCTATAACTTCTAGTCGAAATGAAATAAATGCTTTTCGAAAGAATATTTTATTGAAAAATGATCATTGTCCGAAAAGTATTATTTAATCGAGTGTTATATCGAAATTTTTTGAATGAAACATTGTTGTCAATACCTAATTATAACTGCTGTTCAAAACTTTGAGACAATTCATCGAACTCATCTAGTAAATTACTCCATGAATATCTTTTTTAATTATTATGTATAGAACTATTTCAGTATTTTTATTTACATTAATAACAGATAAGAATAATATTTGATAATTATTGTTTATTTTTTATTATGTAATATGATAAGTGAACAATAAAAATTGTTTTAAGAACTTATTTTGAGATATCATACATGAATGAGTTAGACGGTTGTATTGATCAAAGTCTAACTTTAAAGATGGATTTTTAATGCAGCTAGGTGATGTAATCAAACACAAAACTACAATATCTAACGAAAACAGATAGCGTATTAAAAGATAATATTACTGATTAATTCCATTAATACCATGAGTATTTTATATCAACGTATCACACGCAATGTCTATTTTTATTACATTTATTAGATAAAAATCACATTCGAATTGTCTACTTTTAGTAATTTTCCCGACTGATTTTGGTATTGTAGATATTTAAGATATAATGAATAGAGTATATAATGATATAATTAATTTCGAATCAGTATTATGTCATTCTTGAAGAACAATAAATAATATCTGAATATTAACTAATATATGAAAAATTGCTTGACCATCAATGTTTTCAATTTTTTTTCGACGTCGTTTTAATCTTAAAATGATTAGCTCAGTAAATCGATTTTGGTGATTGAATGTCCAAACACTACGTGATTATATATTTAAATCAAACAAATTTAGCATTGATTGTAGAATTAGAAGATGATAGTATACTAATATGAACATAATATGTATTAAATATTTATATACAAACTACTATTTAATAAAGTATATATTTCGTCTACAACGATCGAACCAAAAGTCGACAAAAAGCACATTGGGCCATTTTATTAAAAAATTGTTATTACCGCAAAGCTTTTTTAATCGACATAATGTTGTTTATATAATTATTTCTAACAAAATATTTAGTTTTATATGCATTCTTGATGATAATCTATCATTTAAAATACATGTTTCGAGTTTTATTTCAACTAATTGTTCACTTTGAAACTAGCTTGCTTTATTATCTAATTTAATTTCGATTTGATATAAAGTTTTATATAACAAAAAAAATTATTTATTCAAGAATGGAAATGTAAGTCGATGTGTTAATTGACTGTGATAGTAGAGAACTTTTTTCACAAAAAAAATCAGGGGTAGTAGTGGCTAAGCTGATCGGCTTACAACTCTATTCACGAATCACTTTAAACACCATTTGTAAACGATAAAAATTAGCATGAATATATTTTTACAGCATATCATCAAATACAGTCAGTGAAAAAAGTTTAAGCGAATTTGTTTTTTAATTCTTTTTTTACAGTTGTTGTCTCAAATTTTCTTTCATATTCAGTGGTACAGACTTGATTCAAATAGTGATATAGAGATAGTAGTATGAGAGACCGGCTACACCATGTATTGCAGAAGGGAATACTGTCTGTCTATATAGATATTCCGTAGAATTAGAATAATTTTCTCAACGCAAAAATAGATTTAAGTGCTTTTCAGTATTTCTCATTTCTTAAACAAAAGACTTGCATTGAAATGGAAAAAAGTACATCAATCGGTAGAGAATTTCAAGTTGTACCAGTCTCTAAAAAAATGTTTTCCAAAGCAGATCTTTACCGCAAAAATGCTAATTATAGCGAGAATTGGTGAAACACATGGAAAGTGAAATTCTTCAAATCCCATCGTATGTTCTTCATATCTAAGAATAGTAAAAAGCTAGAAAGAGTGGGAATGGGAGTTGATAATAATAGGCCCACACTCCACCCAAAACAGGACTATATATTATACTTTTGAAAAAAAATAGAATCGACTTCGTTTAAATTAGAAGAGGCATGGCCTAGAGGATGTGGGTGAGGGTGAAGATGAGGGTAGGTGTGGATTTGAATGCTTGTATTTTCGCTCACTCAATCACACCTATAATCACGCCCACACTCACACTCACATCCTCAAGTACACTTAGGCTCTATATTATATCCACAGAAAACTTCAACCCTCCAGATTGAATTCTAGTGGAACTAGACGTATAATAAGTTGAATGACTCAACTTTCCCTGGACAATTTTTTTTGAACGACCTTCTAAATTGAGTTATTGTCTTCATATAGCTTCAAGAAAAATTAAATTTATATAAAGGGAAAGAGGAAAAGACACGCTACAGTTTGGTATATAAACGTTTTTAAAACTAACTTTTATATGAGATTTTATGAATACTGTATGAAAAAGTTGACATACAGTTAATGCCGACTCTTTATGCATGTCCTGTAGTGACTAAGTTTTTTTTCTAAATATAAAAATCGGAAGAGCGTGAGATGCTCTATATTGTGAAGGACATTTTCGATTTTAACTAAATGACTTTAATAGTTTTTTTCGATCACTTTCCGGCAGATGCCTTTATTTTTTGTAATACTCTTTCGGCTTTCATATTTTAAAGACAATAACTCAATTTAGAAATTCGTTCAAAAAAAAAATTCGTCCAGAGAAAGTTGAGTCATTCAACTTGTTATATATCTAGTTCCACTATAATTCAATCTGGAGGGTTAAAATTTTCTGTGGATATCATATAGAGCCTAAGTGTACTTTTGGATGAAAGGCGTTCGTCAAAAGACCACATTATAAGGGAGCTATTCTCGAAACAAAATCATCCAAAAAAATATTGTTCTGGACTGTATATTTATTTGAAAATCGACATAGTATTCTGTGTCAAATGACGCCTAACTTCTGCATTATTGTTTGTATACTTGTAAGTCTAAGAAACAGAATTGATAATATTCTCTTAAATAAACTTCAACATTACATTCATATTGCATAGTTATAAAAGTTCCAATATAAAATTGTTTGTAATTTTGCAACTTCAACCATTCCGCATCATTGTCTGAAATATGTGTTGACTGCTTGCAATGTATTTTGAATCTTTTCCTTATTTTCATTTAATTCGTTCAAAATCAAATCAAATTGTCTTTCAATAACGTTTCTTTCAACCTTTTTATCATCAATGGCTGCTCGTATATTATTGGATTGTTCTAACAAATACCTGTCGATTGAATCGAAATGTGAACTAAATACAGTTTCTACTCGTTCTTTTGCTTCATCAGCTGCATACTGTTCTACTTCTTTTAAATTGTCTTGCAATGCGTCTATCGCAACATGTTCTAATTGCTTCTTTGATAATTGGTTAACTTTTAATTTATATGTGCCTTTAACCAACCACAAAAAGTACCAAAGCCTACGGCATATCGGTACTTCTGTTTGTATCAGAGCTCTTGATAAATAGGCCACATTCAATGGATTTGATGAACTTTCCAATGGAATAATTTCAAAACCAAGTAATAATTTTAGACGCATGCCAATACTCTCACAAATATCATTAGTTATCGATTGTAGCTGTTTTCTGAAAGCTAAACACCTTCTAGTTATTTGTGAGTTTATATCTCGGCTCAATGCATGCATTAAATCTTCGCTGATATCTTTTATACTGTGGAAAAATGTTTCGAAAAATAAGTCTGCTTCCTCTTTTGCGCTAAAGTATAATATATCTTTGCCATGAAGTAATTTTTTCCAATGACAATGGTTATGTCTCGTCGATTTATCGTCAAGAATCTCGGCCACAGACTGCATACTTTTACTTCTGGCCTCATCAAACGGGCTTTTTATATATTCAACAACGTTACTTTGCCATTGACGAAGATCTTTTTCTGCTTCCGTGCGGCTCGAATCAAGTTGTTGTTGTTCTTTCTTCAAACGGTTTACAGTTTCAAACAATGTTTTTTCACCAATATCCAAACAAGATTTCCTAATATTAATCTTTTCATAGCACTTTTCTATGTAATAATTGCATTTCAGCAGTGCCATTGTTAAACAGATTGGCACAACATGTTGACTAACTATACCCAATGCATTGTGTAAAAAAGAATCATAATTTGATTTTTTCCATAATTTTTCAGCAATATTTGGTAGTAACGTCACGTTGATATACTCTGCAGCTTGTTCCCATGCTTGACCCAAGGCTTGTTGCATAAACATTTTATAAGACTTTGTTTTGCTCATCAATGTTTCATGTGTAACATCCGACTTCTTTCCAAGTTCTTCATATTCTTGACGAAATGTATATGATAGTATTGCGTTCATAGCAGATATTTCATGAACATTAGTCAGTGGTATTTTATATTTCATTGCTACTGCAGCCTTCGTTTGTTCAATTGAATTATGTTTACCTTCTATACGTTGATCAACTTTATTAACTAATGCATATAGATACGCTGTACTATCAGTGTTTCTATATTCACGTATAGTTTCGATATCTTCTTTAAGTTTTGCTTCGTCATTGGAATTCGATCCAATAAATTCAAGTGCAACTAATATTAATGTAGCTTTTCGCAGTTCTGAAATCACAATTTGTCTCAAGTGAGCAGATAAATTGCTATCATTCGGTCCTGGTGTATCAATAATTATGAATTCACCTTGTGGGCACGAAAATGCATGCGGTAGTGGCACTTTTAGACGAGGGATCCATGTATAATTGATTGAGTTTTCTATATTTAGCATAATTGATATACGTACTACATCATTAATATATTTTAGACTGTCAACAATTTTTGAATTTTCATATGTTTCTGTTGCTAAAATCATCAGATCACCGGTCGATATATTCTTCACCATTTTAATTAAATCTTCTTCGTTTCGCAATCGAATTTCTAAATTATATTGATTATCTTTTAATTGCAATTGTCTACCAATCTCATGAATCATAGTTATTAGTTCTGATTTTAATATTAACTGTGGTTCTTTAGTATGTTGACTGAATAATATTTCTGTCGGTAACGTTGTCATAGCTGTATTTCTTGATGGTAATAAATCATAACCCATAATTGCATTCAATATTGTTGATTTACCAGCTTTCATAGTACCAACAATAGCCATACGTAACTCTAACTTTTCAACTGATTTGATTTCATGTCGAAAAAAATTACGATATTGTGTTAAATCATCCAGTGTAGAAGATGATTGTAATGATTCGCTGTTTAATTGTTCAACTATGTGACATAGCGTATTTTCACTCGAACGAAGTATATTTAATGTTTGATTATACAAGCTTTCAGAAACTGAAGACGATAATGTCATACCTGCAATAGTATTAGCAGTCGTAGTAATAGCAGTATCCATTTTTAAGTTGATATACAAGAATATTACTGAAACGAGATATAAATATTTCTATTTCTACAGTAGATAGATTCTTTGATGCACTAATACAAAAGTTAAACTACACCTATAAAAGAAGGCATAAAAGCCCTTGCTGTTTGTCGCTGTTATATTATGTAAGGTGTATAGCTGTTATCTCTTGGTAAAAATAATATCTGTGCGCGTGAGTAATACTGACATCGAAAGCTCTCTTTCTCTTACGTATACATAATAACTATATAATATCAAGAATAGATGGGTGTGGGTCAGTAGTGCCAAACTTGAAACTTGAATACAATTGAAACTTCAAGTTTCAACTGAAATTTTAATTTTCAACTTTCAACTTTCAAGATCCTTTCGCCGCAACCTTATCGGCTGGGATAATGTGTGTGCCAGATTTTGTGCTAATCGTGATTGCTGGAACTCTCTTCGTGACGCACTAACCTGCTGCGATGATGTGTGCGTGTAAGATTTTGTGAGTCGTGATTCTTCAAAGTGATTTCGGTTTTAAAGTTGAAAGTTGAAATTTCAATTGAATTCAAGCGTCAAGGTTGACATTTATGCCCACACCCACCCACACCCACACCCACCCACACCCACACCCACCCACACCCACCCACACCCACCCACACCCACACCCACACCCACCCACACCCACACCCACACCCATCTTTGCAACAGGTGACTTAGCCTTCTTGTTCCTTAATGTTTTA